GAGACCTCCAACACTGCTACAGTCCTCGTCCATTCATTATGACTTCCATGTTCTACAAACTCTCTTTTGCAGGTGTTTACATCGGTTTTTCAAAGGCACCTGATACGATCCTTCTTTAAAAAAGAATGGATGCTGTGATCAATCGTATCAAATGCCTTTGAAAGATCGATGAAAACACCCGCAATAGAGAGTTTGTACTACGGCAATAGAGGATATGCTCTTAAGTGGTTTGAGAGCTATCTGACAGACAGAAAACAATTTACTATTGTCCATAAAACACTGTCTGGCAGAAGTAACATTACACACTGAGTGCCCCAATGATCTATACTAGGCTCTCTTCTATTTCTGTTTTTACATTAATAACCTGAGTAACTCATCTTCCTACCTTTTTTCTGTTGTTCGCAGATGACACTTCTATCTTCTTTTCTAATCTAAATGTCAATCTTTGATTCGTATTCACAGCCTAATGCAGAATTATAAAAGTTTCTTCCTGGTTCAAAGCCAACAAACTGTCTCTTAATACCAGCAAGACCCACTTTTTGTGCTTTCATAGAGGTTCAAGTTCTTCAGATGGTCTGCCCTCCATTTACATTACTGGTGCTGGAATATCGAGTACCCGCTTGACTAAATTCTTGGGTGTTGTGCTTAATGATGGCGCCGTACCTGGAGTGACCACGTTTCTTTCATTACTAAAACCGTTTCCCGCAATACAGGTGTTCTGTTGAAGTTTCGCACTTTTTTTCCCACCAACTATTCTTTTCACCCTTTACAATACACTTATTCTTCCATATCTGAATTACTGCAACATTGTGTGGGCACGATCCAGTACTAACCAACTACACTCTCCAAGTGTAATGCAGAAGCTAGCCATCAGGCTTTGCACTTTCTCACAGCCACGTAATTATTCTGCTCCTCTATTTGTTAAACTCCACATATTTAACGCTTCCAGATATTAACAATCTTCAAACAGGGGTCTTTGCGTGCAAGTTCAGTCGACTCTCGTTATTACGAAAACGGCCAGAACAAAATTCCTTTTACAACAAACACATCTGCGGTCACGGCGATAATGCGCACGTTTCATGGGAAGAAAATCTGTTACAACGAAATCGCATTGAACGAAATTCTTGTCAGAATGAAACATTTTGTGACTCGATCTGCTGCCTGAAAATCCATTGTTGACGACCCATTTATAGCGAGCGTTTATACGAGTCGCGGTGGTGAAAATACGCACGTAATGTGCCAGACTACTTCCCACCGGACCAAACTGTTGCCAAAGAAGGCATGATGGAAATGCGGCAACCAGTCATGACATATTCCTGCCAGAAAGCGTCGTACGTTGCAGTTTATCGTCTACGAATGCAGCCCTACAGTTGCAAGTCGCAAAACACTGCTGTTACAAAATGTCTGCAAGTCCATTCACACAAATTGATCTCATGTCTGTTTGTATTTTCTGTAATCATGAATTTAATTTGAGGTTGTACTGCTCGAACTCGAAGTTGACGAGTTTTCACATTCTTGCAGAGACACACAGGCCTACAGCTTCGTCCTCATTCATGGCGATCAAAAGTCTTTAAAAACTCCCTGGATCGATGCTTTCAAATGTTTTTGCTTCTTCAATATCTCATTTGTACATCAAGCATGTTGTCATATGACAGTGAAGCTCATTAATTCTAAACACATTCAGTAACCAAGTTGCTGTGCATGTTAATTTCTTCTTTGCTATAAAGATAATCACTTGCTTTGGGGCATATGATTAGTAAGGGTATTGCAGCATACCTGTGTACAAAAATTGCTTATTTCTATGGGGTGAATTATGTGTGGCCTTTGAAGGAAGTGGCAAGTTTCTTTTGCCGTCCAGTTTATAAAAGTAATTACATTACCACTTAGATTTCAAGTCGGTCGCTGGTGTAGTGGACAGCACACATATCTTAACATCACAAGTCATGGCGCATTCCCAGCTGTGTACGATTTCCAGCTGTAGTTCTTTTTTCGTCCCCGTAAAAAATATCCTTCTTTTGTTATTTTTAATTACAGCTTGGACACTACATTTTCTTTGATTCGCGGCTCCAGAGACTTTTATCAATGGAATAAAATCCAAAATTTTAAAATGATCTGATACCCATCTCGTGAATACAAAGTCTCGACAACATTGGCTCAGAACCAGACGAAGGGTTTGTCAGGGTAAGACTGTTTAAGTTATAAAAGTTACTACGTTTAGTAAGTATTTATGTGCAGTTATTGCCCTTATCAAACGCTGTCTTCTGGACTTATTTTGGAAATAGCTAAGTTGTTTATAAGATTTTGTGTTTTATCGGAATTATTTTATGACGGAATTTACACAAAAAGCTATATTATGAGATCTCATGATCACTCCTTGTGATGAAACAGCGCATTTTGTTTTGCGTTAACTGTCCTGTGGTGGTTCGAACATGTTGTTAGCCAGTCTTAGCCAAATCCGTACAAAGACTTTAAAAACTGATGTTTTGGAGTGAAAAAATAAAGTTTCAAACATTGCATGGATAATGGAAAAGTGCATCACAATCTTTTAAAAAATATTCACGACGGTAAAAGTAAATGTAATATTAGCATTTTTTTTCTTTCTTTTGCCTGGTCACTACGATAAGTTGTAGTTAATTGCAAAAACACCACAAATATTGCAACGAATATTACTGGCCCTACTTGTCCAGCTTATAGGGGGTGCATATCAATTTTAGGGGATGCATATGTAAGTTTCTTTTATTCCTCCACAAATTTCCATTTTAATATGCGTTCGCCTGATCCACACCGCCGCTTTTAAGCACACATTTTCCTGCACAAAGTCACTCAACAAAGTGTCGGAACATTGTTATAGTACACAATGCATGTGGTCTGCCAATTATGGAAATGATACAAACGTCGACAACAGGTAGGCCTCGAAGTGAGCCTATTTTTTTTTCAATTCCATTGAAAAAAAAAAACTGCATATGAAACGCTTTTCGTTCAGAAAATTCAATGATCTTTCAAAAATTATCCCTGTCAAGATGAAGCAAACCGCAAAATGAAAATCGTTTTTCCCCTCGTTTTGAGCCATAGCACTCATACATATGAATGATTTTCCTCTGACCAACCTCCACCCAAAGGAGTTCCACCGACCTTCCCTTTTCCCCATGAATAATGACTCTCAGCTGTAACACTCGAAACCTGACGCTTTGCTGCAAAGCCTGGCTTATCTGTGACCTCCTCCATGCTTATTCCGGGGGGGGGGCAGTAGTGGGTAGTTAAGCAGCAAATCAAACTGAGATGTTCAGAGTGTTATGCTTCATTTATGTCAACTGCACCAAAGAAAGTGCTCCTAATTGCAACACTGCATTTTAATAGTATGTGAGGGGAATTGTTCCCGGAAAAGTGGCAGTGAATGAAGTTTTTGAAAAACCACTTTTTCTTGCAAAAATACCGGGCATTATTTTCCTCAACCTACTTTTCAGTTTAATACTATAGATGCTAACGTCCCAAATTTTGAAAGAAAAATTACCAAATTTTCTGCTTATTGACAAAATCTGGGGAAATCCAGCTGTATCCCCAAAACGTCTTTTTTTTACCAGAAGCCATAGACACATGAACTAATTTATGCACTATCTACATGTATATCCAAACCTAAGTTTGTTTTACAGACGGCGTACTTGGAGACCAAACATGGACCGGACGCGAGTAGGCGTGGCGTTGTTGATCATCTTTCAGTTCCCAAGTATCCTCTTCGCTGTGTGTAAGTCAGCCACATTTCTTCTTGGACTGGTACCCGTCCGTACTATATAGGGAAGAATATAATATAAAATCGGTGCTCTGGAATACGTTGCAATTACACATTTCAGAGCACTGATTTGATATTATATTCTTGTCGATATTCTGATCACGGTGCTACGCAGCCTTCCATATTTCTATGGTTACTAGCAGCTCGCCTACGCTACCGACAGTGTTGACGATTGCACTTGCCAACCAGTGGTAGTGGCGCGCGTGCGCCCGTCCAATTTGCATATTTCATGGAAAGGTCCATTGGTATTGTGGAAATTGGTATATACAGGCGAATGTGAAAGCGAAGCGAATTTGACGTCACGGAAAACTGCAGCGAAATTTCGCTCAAGTTGGAATGTCCGTTCAGCTTTTTACGCCAGTTCGTACATATTCGCGGGGCGAATATATATGAACTGGCGTATGAACCGGCCTTAAGTGCGCCGGTAACGAGGGTTCTCATTGGATAGCCTACGCCTTGATTAGTACTTTGGTACTCCTGTTATAGTTATTTTGGCCGTACACAGCAAAGGGTCACATACATCGAATACATACAGTGAAATGAATCAGCTCTCGGCCACTCATGATACATAATCTATGGGTAAGATGTTGTAAAACCTTTTTGAATGAAATTGGACAACACTTCCGCGCGCATAATGTATATGGAGCAGCAATGATATCAATAAGTAAAACGGTATGCTTACCCGGTAACAGTGAGAGTTTGACATGTCTTTGCCTGTTCTTACATGAATGAAATCTGGATTTAGCTTCTCATCGCAAGGTCCTTGTTTTCATTCCATTTGATAATATTGCTTAGTTTCTCACAGCTGCTAATTCCTATGTTAAATTTTAGGAGCTGTGTAATTTTTACCCGCAAATAACAGTGTGATTATATCGAGAAGGGATGGGATATATCCACAGGTCAGCCCACCCATGCATTTATGTGTGCCAAAGCTACACTGATGCATGGGAAAAGGGAGCTTACTGAAAGCAATGGAAATTGGTGGTTACAAGTGCAGCCTGTTCAGAAGTATGTTTGGGGATCTGTCTTTCTGACCCAGCTATCTTTCAGTGAAAAATATTAATACCTTGATACAGGGTTTTGATGGGATTATTCGGGTTTTTGACAGATCATTTCTGTACGAGGAATACCGAGGTGCTTGACGAGCACAGGAATGAAGGCAAGATCGTCAGGGTGGAACACATCCAAGTGACAGAGCCACGGGTTGGGATTCCGAATAGCCGGGGGGATATTTCTGGCTGTACCTTGGCTGACATTAGGATGAGGCCCGGCGTCATGCTGCTAGTCAACACAAACACTGGCTACATGGACATGACACTGAACTTGTTGGAGAGCATCAAGAGGACTGGAGTCTGCGTGAACACAACCATCGTTGCCGAGGAGGAGAAGGCGTATCAGACTATGCTGAGCCATGCCCAAGGTGACCCGGCTATAAAAGTGGTCAAAACAGACCAAGGGGAAGCGGACCCCGGAAAGCTCGTGCTCTACAGTCGTGAATACAGGCGTCTCGTGAACAGACGTCATAGGTATATTCTGTCCCTGCTGGAGAAGGGCTATGAAGTTTTCTTCACTGACGTGGACACATTTTGGTTTCAGGATCCCTTTTCGTATTTCCAGGGAGAGTTTGACATGGCCTTAGTAGACGAGCGCTCCCCTTACCCGACCAGACTGCAGAAGAAATCCCTACATTGTGCTGGCCTTGTTTACTTCAAGCCGACAAAAAAGACTCTCCAGTTCGTCAAAAAATGGATCCAGATCTTGGCGGACCCGAAAAACAAGGTATCTGACCAGGGGGTGCTCAACCGTATGATGCACGACGATATACCAGTGCGTGTTGATGTCAGACAGCTGCCTGTCAAGTATTTCCCTCACGCCTTGGTGTTTTACAAACCTGAGTGGCGGAAAGAAAACAACGACCCAATCATAATGCACAACGTCGGCGTAAGGGGACATGACGCAAAAGCTAAAAAGTTCCGAGAAAATAACATGTGGCTGGTTAAAACCACAAGCGGGACAGTGTAGTACTTGATTCAGGAGTGAGAACACTTTGCATATATCCCGGGATCCTATTTTAAAAAGAAGAGAAAAAGATATCAGGGTAGCTTCAAGTACACTGGGAATCGGCATCAAAGCAAAGCTTTATTTTAAAGAAAATGCTACGTTTTCTACAAAGAAGAATGAATATGGAAAATGTAAGGTTTGGACTGCCATGGATTGCGACTTTTCTAGTCACCGTATAATATCTGAAACGTCATGTATGCCCATTGTGGTGGTCTTGCTGACCGTGTGGTGGTATACACATTGAACGAAGGACATGTTCTTCTTGGATCAACGTTGAGGGCAGTGTCATAACAAGATCTGGGTATTACTAATCCTTCGTCCCAGAGAGAGAGAGAGAGGGGGGGAGATAGACATCGTTTGAGATGCCCTCTTGTTCCTCATCAAAGAGCGTTCATTCTGTACATTAGATTCGTTTACCATACTTTCACAAAGGTGGGAGCAAACCACTTGTTAGACCCAAAATTATGTGAAGTTTCAAATTAATGTCGTCATCATCATCTCACAGTTATTGAAGGGGGACAAATTGGATGTGATAATTTTTATATAAATTTATCTCGTTTCACGTCGATTGATTTAATACATGTCTGCATACACCTCTAGGATAAGATCCACTTTATTTCCCAATAACACTTGTCAAAATTCCCCAAATGTCATAAGACCAGAAATAGATATCACTCGATCATCGCTTTGTGTTAGTAATTAAAACAAATATGTCTGGTCCAGTTTTCATTAATGAAATTGTTCTTACAATGAATTGCAGATGCATGAACACACAACCCTATCCATTGCGCATTCACAAAACATATTGGTCGTGTAGCTGCAGTATATCGTACAAAACTGTAGGCCCATACAATGTTCACAACTTAACTTTGTTTTGTTACATTAGAAATTAAAGCTTATTAAATCTGCTACTACAAGCTTTTAGACTTAGAAACCGGCATGGTCTCTACCATGGCACACGTACCTCAAGATAACTTAGTAAATACCCAGTTACTTTCAGTATCATCGGATGTACATTTCTGCAGATAAATTTACCCGTCAGGACTGCATGACACATGACCACATCATCTCTGTTTATACCTATAACACCCCCAACTATGAAAGCACGAGCTATCACTCTGATAAAATGTGTAGTTCTGAAGATAATGCCCTCCTAATATTCCACATCGAAGCTGGTGTAATATGTGACTAATGATCATGCCATTGTCATGCGACCAAAATGAAAGTCGTCTAAACAGTATGAAGGCTGATCTTGCCCCAAGATTGGTTTGGGGGCGACACCCAATATATGAGGCTCACTACTATATTAAAAACGTCTGGTCCTCTAACGCCACAATAGGGTGATTACGTAATTTGTCGGTCGCTTCCGTGAACTTTCTTTGGTCTTGCCGACCACTCTAAAAGGAGACATGCTTTGTAATTTTTTTTAGATCTAAACGGTATTCAATCTATTGTTCGCAAGACAATCATTGTACGGATTGACTGTTACTTTAGTTGTTACAAAAGTCATATCAGAGGAGTGGCTATTTTAATAATAATTTTTTTGATTTTATAATTTAGGGTTCTAGCTTTGGTGGAAATGGGAATTTTCTGGCTCTTAGTTTGAAGGGTTGAGGCTTTAGCATTACGGTTATTACTTTGCACGGCCGAAATAGGAACGATCCAGATTTTTTACGACAAATTAATGATAATATTCTCGGTTTCGACAACCCCCAATTATATGCGGTGATTGGAATCTGCTTTTAGATAGTAAACTTGACTCTGGAAATTATCTCCAGGTTAATAGTCCACTAGCTAGAAACAAGGTGTCGAGCAATATGTACAAATCTTGATCATATTGATCCCTGGCGTATTCAAAATCCAAACTCTAGGGTTTACCTGAGACACTAGTTGGTGCGTTCGATTAGCTTACACGTGTAAGTCAAACTTACACAGAGCGTT